ATCAACCAACTAACCTGATCTACAATGTATTCTAATACATTTAGAATTCCTACTCATGGGCTTCTGGAACTATACGAGCACTTAATAAGCTCCTGAGAATGATCTATCTACGGAACCTATTTGTTGTTCATACCAGAAACCATTTTCGGCTCTATACAAGTGGGGTGGGCACACCCAGCTTTTCACGCATGTCAAGTGACTGCCCTCACCCCCACCCCCTAGATTGGCTACACTCCCCCTGGCTCACGAATTCCCCGATTCTCGTGACAGTATAGTAGCCCCACTTACATACATTTCTGTTCAAAAAATGCGGCGTGCCCACCCTACTTGTATAGCACCAAAAAATAAATTTACTTCATTAGACTGTTTACTGTATGATGATGGGTCATAGGTAAACATGCTCAGAATCGAACCGGATTTTACATATTCCAACTGAACGCGCAAACTCTCAAAAAGGTCATTTGCAATTAGGTGTTGCGCTATATAAAAAAACACTGGTAAATCCCATAGCTGTATCACATACGGGATCGCAAAGGTGTTCTTAACCAGTACTGTTTAGAAGGGCGGAGATAGGGCCACGTTTGAGAGCCAAATCTGGGCTTAATTTTGGCTCGGGTCTACGAAGCTTTTCGGTCCCTACGAAAACAGAACCGTTGATGAGCGCTTGCATAGTGGTTCGAACACGTAAGTCGTTGTATAGACCAAATCGAGTTTATGTGGTGCTACAATTCTTTATAAGTAGAATACACGGCGCATGTTTAGAAAGAGATTCAACACATAATGCTTTATCCATATTTTATATGATTCTGGACTCAAATATTTTGAAGTTGTTAAAGCAAAACTGAGAAAATACAAACACTGTACTTCGATGGATATATGGATGTTCATGAAATAATTAAATTCGTTGAAGTTCTCTGTTCTCTTGTCTACCGAATCTGATTGTCTCGAAGCAATCCACTCCTCACCGTCTGATCATTCACTTCTTTGTGAAATTGACGGTTCAAAAATTGCTTTAGTTATGTAGGCATGGACTGCCCTTACCGTTTATTGAATGCTTAACAATACGCATTGACGCCTATTAGTTGCGGACTCGAATGCGTGATTCATCTCGGAAAGGGCTTCCTCGGCAAGCCTAAATTACCGAACTATCGCGCATAGCTTACCGTTTTGGGAAAGAGAGATCGCTTTCTCAAGCTTTTAACCATGGTTTGCGTGCCAGGGCTCTTTTAACCTATGGCGGATGGTCACTATGTGTGCACCACCGCTGTATTTGTCGTCTGTTTTGTTTGTAACAAGAAATATAGAAGTTATTTTCATCAGTATGTTCACATGGTACATCACTTCATCCGCAATGGGTAAGAAGGAACAGGACCTATCACAAAGTAA